CTGGGCTAGGACTTAAGATGTGTTTCGCTACAATGAAGTAGATTAGACCAGCGTGCACCCTAGCATTGTGTCGTCTAGCAGGTTATGATATGTTGTGGGAGGAGGGGCGGAGGGAAGCTTACCCCCTCAAGCCTCAAACCTGAAACGCAGGCCCTGCAAACCCTTTCATAGAGCCCTTCATAGGGTCCTTCATAGTGGGTATGTTAGGGAACAAAAGAGAGGGTAGTTGGGGGGTCTAGGTAGACCCCAGCAAGGCCTTTGCGTTCTTCAGGTATGGATGGATCTTCTTGGTGAACACGATGCTCAGGACCCTAGCCTCGGGCCCAAGTTACAAGTCCTGCTGCGCTGCCCGCCTGCGCTAGATCCCTTATGAGGGAGTAGTAGAGTGTTTACATAGATACACACACATGTATGTATGTATGTATGTATGTATGTATGTACGTATGTATGTATGTATGTATGTACGTACGTACGTACGTACGTACGTACGTAGGTATGTATGTCTGTCTGTCTGTGTGTATGTATGTATGTATGTATGTATGTATATATATATATACATATGTATACACACACATATACATACATACACATACAAATGCAGTAATTATGTGTGTATATATATATATGCATAAACAGAAATAAATAGAAATAAATAGGTGAATAAATAAATAAATAGATAAATACATATATATATATACCTAGACAATCTTTCGTAATGGAAAAAAGCATAACGAAACATTTCCATACGGTTTCCAGGAAAAGTACACGGGCTTGGAAAAGTGTGCGGATTCAAGGAAATGTGTTCGATATATTTCTGCGAGTACGTTTATGGGACATCTCCAATTCAGGGGACTACATTTAGAGATTTTAGCTCATAAGGTTCCAACAATAAGCTATATGCTACCTGCTTGTCGGTTGCCTAAGCTGGGAGGTTAGCTTTGGGTTTTGATGAGTATGATGAGGTTATACAACCGGGTAGATTAAGGATCACGATCGGAGTTTACAAAGAGCCTGGGATCTTGGACCTTGGAGGCTTCCCCCTTAAACCCTAAGACCTATACCCTAAACCTCAAAGCCCATACCCGGCCTAAATCCCTAAACCCTAAACCCACAGCACAGAGTGCGCACGATCTTTCAGCGACATCGACATCGCTGCGAGTGCGCCCGGGGCCTACTCCAAGAAGTGTCGCCATTGCCTTTTGTACTGGGCCAGACTTCTAGCAATCGTTCGTGGAACCACCAAAAATTGATGGCATCGCCGTGAGCACCGTGAGACTCTCCCCACAAAGTCTTCATCACTCCAGCAACTCCAGCCTAGGTTGCAACTGATGTTCTTGATGAAAAAACCGATGCTCATGGGATGCACTAGCACATTCTGTGACAAGGGGCTCATCGTATTAAAGATCCATTGGATGCCCTTCTCGATCGGCCATTGGAGCTCCAGACTTGGATCAGGCAAATCTTTCAGGTTGCAAAGGCTTGGGATTGGCTTCGAAATAGCAAATGACCTAGTGACCTATGTACGAAAGATCTAGAGCTATATGCTGGCTGCATCGTAGAGACACCAGATGGGCTTGAAGATGCAGTTTCGGTCGCAAGCGGAACAAGCACCATTGACGTTGGGCCGCCATCTTTGCTAGGTGATGATAGCCTTCCTGAGGAACTGCAGGATTAGTACAGTGTAGCGCTAGTGTCTGTTGTATGTATACTGCATGTACAGGGGTCGTACTATCTATGCATGCATAAATATATCATTCAAGGGTCGAGCATTTTCCAACCACACTCCAGAGCTTTCAAAGCTTCAGATCTCCGAAGAAACACACCACCCTGATAAAGCACACGATAGTAACCTCCCACAGCAACCAGTGTCCAACGTAGGAGCTTGAAGATTTCGTGGTTCTCGGCCGCCTCAGGATAACACTCGAGCCGATATCGGGTTATTCACATGCATACGATCGAAATACAGCAGCATGCTAGCTATGTTCGACGACAAGGTACAATCGTTCTCATATCGATGTCGACACAGAAGTTTTCCAGCCACCCCAGCATGATTGAACAGTCATGCCCCTTCCCACTTCCAGCTGGGAACTGGCTCAGCCTGAGTCTATAGGATGGGCATAGGAAGTAAATCATCTATAGCTATGATTCAAAGGAATTTCCCGGGGGTCACAGCTAGATTTTAGGGTATGTTTTTGCAGAAAGTCGCGAATCGATCTTCAGCAGCTTCAAGCTAAATTCCGTCAGGGACGTGGTTTTCCCAAATGCTCTGCAATGATCACGGAACATTTCGAAAGCTGCGTCGAGGCATGTCGCAATAGAGGACCCATTGAAGACACCCAAACGAAGAAGGAGTATCAGACTTGAGGCCCCAAGTGAAGTCCCCCACCCATTTATCGCGTAAGTGTGCGCCGGGTCGGGCTTGATCCTGCGTGGATCAAGCCCGATGGTTGACAAACCCAGAAAAGGCCTGTCTCCAGGCCAAAAAGGATCATCGATAGGATCATCTTGCCGAAGACGTCGTACTGCTCCATGTCTTGACAAGTCGTACCATTCCTGGGATGGAGCACAGCTACATGGGGGAACTCCATACACCTAGTGTTGCTTCTACATCCGAGTATCGTCTGAACAGGAGCACAAGTGGCAAAGCCGCTTGCTGGTGAAGCCAGGATATAAATGACAGCTCTTCCGTAAAAACGGCCAGTCGCCTTTGACAGCGACAGTGATTAGATGCAGTCGCATCTTGGCATCACCAACCATCACCTTGTTGTCACACCATGTTGTCGACATCATGCATACATACACATATGTACTAAATGATGATCCGACAAGTGACTTCGTGGCCTTCCTGGTAAAGATTTTGCAGATCTTCGGCTAGTGTCTGCAAAAGTGTATCCAAAGTTGTGTTGGCATACATCTCGCTCGGCACAACCGTGTACAAGAAACGACTGGCATAGCTGTGCCTCTGATAGCTTTCTAGCACCCAAACACCCATAGCCCACAACCCATATAAGGAAAACCCTAAACTTATAAAGACCCCAAACAACAACACTTACACTGAATTCTGCTGTGGGCCCTGATGTATTCGTAACTGCAGGACCAAGGTAGCTGATGAGGGGCTGGAAACCGATACACATAATTGGGCGCTTTGCTTTACCCCTTCCTTCGTCCCCATGAACTGCTATCGGTATCGAAGTCCGTGGATGGGGTACCTCGACTTGAGGCTGAGACTGCTGGAACTTGGACCAGAAATCCTCCAGCATCCTTTGCCATCCAGGCACCGAGTGGATGTTGAAACCACCCAGTAAGATTTCACTGCAATTGGTCATCATGTAATCGACCCAGCTTGATGGCCGCAGGACAGGAAACTCCATAGTCTCAACCTTTGGCTTTCCTTTGAGGAGTCGTACTCGCGTAGGAACCAGTGATGTTTTAATTGGAAGAATTCTCTTCTCCCGATACATCAGTTTGTGAAGGTTTCGGCTGCAGTTTGCTTGAGATCTTCCCCCAGAACCACAACGAGCAAGTCTGTTCAATTCGGGGTCACTAGCACCTTGAGTTTGCATCAGGGTCCCAACCATATATGTGCAATATCGATCATGTATGCATATTACAGACGTACCCCAACCGAAACCCAGATGTACTTCTATATGCCACAGCCCACGACCCGAAGTGAACCAGAAGAACACATACGATATATAAAGGCCCACACAAAGATAATCGATAGAGTTTGCTAAGAGTTAACAAGCCACCGTATTTTTTCAAAGCTCTGGAAGCCACTTGTGCCACCCGCACCACCCGCTTGGCACTGTCAACCTCAGGACCCGGTATACCCACAAAAGCCTAGGAGAGAATCCTACCTATATTAGTGGAGCCCACTAGATATGAGCCAGGCAGCCCCCTGCTCGAAACCAAAGTATAGTTCATCCACCAGGTCGTCATCGAGATCCTCGCTGGATCCATCTCCACTTCCTGCGAGGCATATGCTGTTGGGGCAAAGGGTACATCTTTAAACTTAGCCTAGGGCTTCAGGCTTCAAATCGCGCGTTGCAGAATATTGGTATTTGGACCTCGGACCCAAGATCTATCGAGCTAGGGAGGGACCTGCTGTAGTGCTTTAGGGTTTAGGGTTTAGGGGTTTAGGCCGGGGTTTAGGGTTCAGGGTTTAGAAGGTCCAGGGTTTAGGGTTTTATAGTTTAAGTTTAGGGTTCAGGGTTTAGGGGTATGGCTGTCCGGCTTTATTTTGTTGCGATAGCTCGAGGCAAGAGGGATGTTTCCAGATTTTTGGTCTTTAAATGCAAGCAAATACAGGCAGGCCTTCTTGTGCAACTTCAGTACCACATTGTAGTAGACCTGCGTGCGAGATCAGTGGCAGCTTCAAAGCCCAGGTATATTGCAACTTGCACACTCAATCGATCACCATTTTGTCCCCGAGCTCATCCCCTTTGCTCGAAACAGAAGTCGTAATTTGCACAGAATTGAGCTGCTAACAGCAAACTAGGTTCGAGTGGAGGCAAAATGCACAGCAACGGTCGATGGATGTGCTGGGAGCTATATGTAGCTAGGCTTCTCCGCTGCTAGGCAACCTCAAGATGCCTGGGATTTCAAGGCATAACATCAAGTCAAGAGCCAGCACCTTAAGCGCGGGGGTTCTTGCCACTCTTCGGCTTCTTTGAGCCTCCCTTGGCAGCAGGCTTCTTAGGAGAGGCCTTAGTCTTTTTCGGCTTTGTTGCAGACCCAGCAACCGATCTTGTACCCTTGATGCTCCTCAGTAGCAGCACATATTGCATGGGGACACAGCCTCGACACTATAGTTGCGGGTAAGACTCCGGGCCCGTACCACGAGGTTGTTCATGACGAGGTCTTGTTTCGTTATGTTGGCATAGAGCTTCAGCAAATTGTCATTGAAATTCCTGGGATAACATATCGATGGGAAATAGTACGTGCTAGAATCTGCTGGAGAGTGCAACAGAGCAACAGACACCGATAATTGAGACACGGACTTGTCAGGGTGCCGCTGGATCGCATCAGCCTGCCTGGACTGCAACTCCTTGAAGTGTGTCTTGAGGGCCTTCAGGGAGTCCTTGAGTTGGTCCTTTATCCTTAGCATGATGATAGCATGAATGAATCACATATAGTCTCAAACCTCATGGCCAGAGATATCATTCAGCAAAGGAACGCACTGGCTCGTGCACCATCAGTTGCCTGCACCCTTTCCTGCGAGATACTGTGTGTTGCAAGCTTTGGTTGAGGAGCTGTCTTTAAATTAATTTTGCGGCTTATGTGGCTCGGGTTTAGACTTATGGGTTCAGGGTTTTCTCAACTGGCAGTCCAGAACATCTTCGCTGCAGTCGATTTTTTTCCCGAGAACCTCCGGGTACCCTGCTAGGATACCCAATGGGGAAGTGTTCTGTTGCAAGCTCGGAAACGTCAGCCTTGGTACGATGGGTGTATGATCTCGAAAAAGATACAACCATCCCTGATTCGAATATTTTAGCTTAAGTACGAAATACATGTTGTACGATGCAACCGACACACTTGAAGCTGGCAGCCGAGCTGAAAGACTCTAGGGCCTTCCCTGCATCCCCACTGCCACTGCCCGCGGAGGAGCCAACTTTGCCGGCAAAGATATCAGCAGACGAGGCGTGCACCGAGGGCAACTCATCCTGTAGGAGGAACCCACTGTCGTCCTGGATTTGTTTTCGGGCTAAGAAGTACTTTTCAAGAGATCTAGCTATATAGGTTTGGGGTTTAGGGGTTAGGCCGGGTTTAGGCTTTAAGCTTAGGTTTATATAATATAATAGAAGCATTAGGAGCGGCTTGAAAGAAATTGGGGATTGCACATAGCATGTATTAGCACTAGAGTGCATGCATAGCTAGCTAGGATGTACAGCTGCTTAGAGGGTTGGGTTTGAGGCTTTGGGTCCTGTAGGGTTGACACGAGCTTCGATTTCAACACAATGACCCAGGCCTTAATTAGGCAAGCCCTCGAAACCTATAGAGAAGGATAACATCATAAAAAACCAAAACCCAGGATATATGTCCCCAAAATCTTAGCCTAGAAACCTCCATCTCGACGGTCCCGCCCATGCTGATCTCCTGACCTTCCTCATGCAGTAGGTCAAAATCCTCGGACAAAATTAGCTTGGCCTCCTCCTCACCATGAATCTCATTCTTGCGTAGGCACTTGTTCTGATGTGCCCACGCCCATGCCTTCTCGATCATGGGCCTCATGTACATGTGTGTACATGCATCATGATCATGCACCATGCATGCAGCAAGTGCCTAGACACGTCGCAGATTAGAGGAGCAAGCCACCGGGACCAGTGACACTGGCCCGAAAGGTAAGCCTTCGTCACGTAGCGTCCATGCTTAGCCAAGGTTTTTTCTTCAAGTGATACTTCTTCAGGTTCATCTCGAGGGCCCGGAAATTTCCATGCTGTTTGAGAAGGTCACGGAGCTTCTGTCCTAGGGTGTAACAGCTGGCAGATCATGCACGATCAAATGGAACGAACCAACAAATATGCAGCCAGGTATTGCCACCAGGGATCTGCCCTCTTCCGATTTATACATCTGCAGCGCATCCGGACTGCATTTGAGAGACCCACAGGACTTGGGTTCAAAGTATCTTCGGAGCCTGCACACCCGATTGCAAAAGCCCTAACGTAGATGTTCAGGGCTTATTTAGGGTTTAGGGTTTAGGGAGATGGCTCTACACATGTGTGCGTGCATATTCGACTTGTCCGTCCTCCAATATGTAGGAGACTTCCCCCGCTTAGCTTTGGCTTTGGGCACCGGGGGCGGAGGCATCTCACTGGCACTGGGGCCGGGGCTGGACAAGGCTGCAGAGTTTTCCCTCTCCAGGACTGGGCGGGCTGGAGAAGGGGCCTTTGCAGGAACATGCGTGGGATCGGCCTTCAGCGGCGAAGCCTTCAGGGGCGGGGCCTTGAGGGGGGAGGCAGCAGCCTCGAGCAAAGCCTGTTTGGTGCGGCTTGGTGGCTTCTTTGGAAGCTTCGGTTCACGCCTCTGTGCATCCTCAACACCACTATCGTAGCTGTCAAAACTAGTTGTTGTGACACCCTTCTCCAATGCATCAGGCACATCGCCCACAGCCACAGCATGGTTACCAGCCAGCTCATACGTGGAGGTAGCCCTTGCAATAGCTGGGCGGCCTCGGCTTTCGAATCAGCACTACATATGTACACGTGTGAATACTATGCATGGATCATGCACATACATATCACGGGCATTGCCCGCGCCTGGAGGTGAGGCAGAGGGGGGCGACGCAGGCTTAGGGCCACGATTGGCCAACTGGGCCTGGATCTGGCTGATGCGGTTTTTCGCAGCCTTGGCTAATTGCTCATGATGCACAAGTGCACCTAAACGATGATCCCCAACACGAACACGATCGAGGCCGGGGGGCAGCAATCATAGCCGACACATCTTGGGAAGCCGTGGGTGGGGCCATGGCGTTGTAACTCAACAGAGGAAGCCCTTCCAGAAGGGTGCGGCACGACCCTTGCCGTGCATTCATGTGCAGTCCTTGCTGCAAGCTGCAAGCTCTCGATAGACAGCAGGCAAACAAGGCATGAGCATATGCCCTGTAGGATCCATACGAACTGTCAGCAGGCACAACAACCACTCAAGCCAGCATGCCTGACTACTTGCTCTAGGACACAGATGCATGTGCATATTTCTAGGGCAGCAGGCTGTTCCACTCTGTTCCTGGCTTCTGTGCAACCAGACCAATTGAAGCAGCTCCGAATTTCGATAAATTAAGGCTTTTCGGTGGTTTTTGGCGATTTCGAAGGGTTTGTAGAATTCGGTTTGTAATGCTTTTTGGGTTTGCGCACGGTTGCGCGGATTTGCGCACGGGTTGCGGATATTTGCGCACGGATTGCGGTTTTTTCTGTTCGAGGATTTTGGCTAAATTGCAACCTAGGAGCCAAAACTGCCAAAACCGCAAAAAAGCGTTTCTAAAGCCCCAAACAGCCAGCCGGCCCCCAAAGACACCCTCTCCGCCTTCTAAATAGAGAACGGAAGCCCCTAGCCCGGAAGTCCCGACCCAAGCCTTCTCAAGGAATCGGCTGGCCATCCAAAGGCTCTCTCACGGGCCCGGGGCCCTGGGACCCCTCAGATGCTTCGGCCAAAGCAGCACGAAGGGATTCGGAGCCACAGGCCTCGAGTAGCAACAGGTCTAGCTTGGCCAGGCTTTTGTGGTTAAGGTTTCGGGGGCTTTGGGACTCAGGCCCGGCGTTGTATGTATAAGGCTTTAGCAGCTTTAAGGGCTACGGGCCTTGGGGCTTTATGGTTTAGTGCCTTAGGGTTTTAGGGCTTCAGGGATTCAAGGGTTTGTGGGTCTAGGTGTTTGGGGTTGTCGGAGCTTGGCAATGCTCTTGTAGAACGCAGCCCGGGGTGTGCGACGAAGGCTGATATCACAAGCTTTCCTGGAAAGTTCATGGCATTAGAGGATTGGAGGGTTTAGGGTTTGGGGGGGTTTGTTTGTGTTCGAGGATTGAGGATTGCCTAGGAGCCCCAAGGAACATCTGGACCATAAAGCCCCGAGGTCTTCAAGCCTTGCCAACCCAAACACCGAAACCTTGCGACCCGACATACACACATCGATCATGTACCTAGATCGAGAATCAGGCATTCATCCCTAAACCCAGGAATCCCACAGCCCTCGAGCCCATGTAGCTTTAAAGAGATAGCAACCCCTAGACCCCTAAACCATAAATCCTAAACCGGTTCCTCACAACAAAGGCTAATATGAAGTTATTCCCACGAACTATGTAATCGCATAAAGGCGGCATTCTGCTTCACTTCCTTGTAGAAGGCTTGCATGACAGGCTCCCATGTTTCCGGAATCCTGAGAGATAGGCTAATCATCTAGAGGAATCACTACAGACCACTGCCCGACCCGATGCAATTGTATAGTGCAGGCAAGCATCATGCAATTCTTGCACTCATACAGGTACATGAAGACTTCATGTACCCTGCTATCCAACCAAAGGTCGCCCAGAGGAAGCCCAGAAACAATTCCTTGTCACTGCATGAAAGGTCCACGCTCCTGCGGTGGCGGGCGTCAGCTCTATCTCCAGGAGATAGGGCTCTCCACTGGTTGTATGCTTTGAGGATGTTCTGGCCGAAGGTTCGGGTGTAGACCCTCGGAACGGATTCAGTCTATTGGCCAGTTTAGGGTTTAGGGCTTAGGGTTTAAGGCAGAGGGTGATGCATGTTTAGGGCAAGATCTATGGGAGCTGTGAGGATATAGGTCCGGGTTTCATTAATGCTGATCAAGAATCCCACTCTCCTTCAAGGCAGCCCTATTGCCGGAAAATCTCGATACCCCATTCTTGTCGATGAACCTGCCTTCACAGTGAACATGCAATCGGGTTTGATCGAACATGCATGTGTAGTTGTACCAAGCCACGAACTGTCTTTAACGATGTGCGTCTGAGACGTTCTTGTTTTGTCAAGGGCCCCAGGTCGAGACCAGCAATCGTAGCCATGGATGAGAAGGTTATTGTTCTCTTGGGAGAGGGCGCATCATGTAGACACATCCAAAAGGATTGTCTGTAAACCTGGCAAAGTTCATGCATGTAGGTTCGTGTAAGATATCTACTCACCTGACCCCATGCACTACGTACATGTGCATGTACACACAATTAGCTTGCATCGCCTTGGCAACCCGATTGCACAGCCATTCCCAGCGGCTGTATTTAGACAGCAAGCTGCCCTCTGGCTGTTCCAACAACCATGCCCCATTCTTGCACATGATGAGCAATATGAGTAGGACACACCTCAGCGCACTAATCCTATAGCAGACAGCCACTTGTGATGCATTATGTAGCCGATATCTGCAGCCAATGTTCCGGGAAACCATACAGTTGTTGCGATTGACCCAGGGCAAAGCTTCCCTTCCACCGGGGTTTAGTGCTGATCTCATTGAGGTTCCCCGTGCAGTGAGGCCCCAACTCCCACAATCGGGAGCCAGGAGGTTCATAGCATCCGGGCATTCACACAGTATAACATACATCGCCAGCCTCAGCTGAGACTCTATCTAAATCTCCTGGCACACACTAGCACAAGAACCATCAAGTATATAGCTAGCCATTATAGCAAAGCAACGAGAAACCAGCATGGCTCATAAAGTCCATAGGAGCGCCGTAGATGGAGTCCAATGAGGCGATCTTGAATCCCTGGTCATGCCTCGATCACTTGATGTATTTGATCTAGATACAATCATGCATACACATGCTATTAGACCACGAAATAGCCCAGCGGCCAAACCTTTGACACAGCAGCTGACCCCGAGAAAAGCTCGAAGAATTGGTACCGGTCAGTGAAGGTGAGGTTGTTCATCCAGCGAAGGCACAACACCTCAAAGTAGATTTGATGCATCTGCAACCGAAGAAATTCAAAACTGATGGAGTGTAGACATAGCAGCCAGGAGCCCAGACTGCAGCGATAAACACCTTGGCAAGCAACAAAGGCCCCTAGAGATTCAAATCATCAACTTGCAATCTACTCTTGCAATCGAAGCACCTTCGGAGCACCAAGCTGCACTAGGTTCACAAGAAGTGATTGCCCATCCGGGGCCACCATGTGGACTAGCACTAAGTGGCTTGACAAACCAGGCTTGTGCTGGAGCTTGACTGAACAAGTTGCATGCAACTCGATCACTGCATGAACCTGCGTATGGATGCTGGTGCACCACGGCACAAAAGCATTAACTCATGCACTGTTGCCGGCCAGGACAGCTTCGGGGGGGGCGCACCATTGATGGAGGCCCGGACTGCCCATGCCTCCGGCATAGAAGTCCTGCGATGGTTAGAGTAGACACCAGCATATCGTGATGACTAGGCATGCTGCAAACGGAAGCACTGCAGTTTGTTTCTTGAAGCGGTGTCGAAGAGCGCTTTCGTAGTGATCTCGAGAGACCCCAGTCACAACAACAGCATTGCATTGCGTGTTGTGATGCACATAAAATGCCCCGTTGCAGCATGATAGGAGGACCTTGCCTCGCACACTGCACCCCTCAAAACTCCAAAACAGTTGAGTCACAAGTCACTGCTTTGCGAAAACGCCACGAATCCATATGACATCGATCTAGTCCGTGTCAGCATAAGCCTGAGATGAAATGTGTGCAGCCATGTTCTGGAAAATCTAACACATAACACTGCACTTGCACATGTAAGCTGACACCTAGCACACACACACACACACATACACCTAGGTGCACACAAAGTAGCCTGCTTTCCCAGCTCCTTGCACTCCTCTAGACTCTTGCCTGCATCCTTCCCTTGCTTGATAGCTTTGTGGTAGGCAACTGATTTCCGAGATAGGCGTGCCTTTCTCTCTGCAATCACATCGCCTTTGTCATGGCTAGCCCCTTTGGTCTTTGCAGCGGTCGCCTTTGCTTTGGGAACTGCTTTTGCCGCTGCTTTGGGAACTTCCTTTGCCTTTGCTTTCGGAACTGGCTTCGCCTTTGCTTTGGGAACTGCTTTCCCCTTTGCTTTGGGAACTGCTTTCCCCTTTGCTTTCGGAACTGGCTTCGCTGCTGCTTTGGGGCCTCGTTTGGTCTTGTCTTTGCTTGCTGCTTCGGGCTCGGCTGTGCTCTGGGCCTTTGCTTTTGGCTTGGTTGCTTTCGGCTTTGGGGCTTTTTCGGGTTCAGCTTCCTGGGAGGGGGATGCAGCACGCTTGCGCTTGCGAGTGTCCACCTTGGCTTTCTTGCAGGCACGATCACTCCCCACGCTGCAGCTCCTTTTCGGCCTGCTTCTCTCATGCGCCTTGACATGCACTGCCTCATCCTCACTGGTCTCCTCCTTCTCAGTGGGTGTGATCTCACCATCACCTCGGTCATCCCTTTTGCTCTCAGCCTCGTGACCATCTGAGTGGGCCGAGTCATCCGGGCAGGCCTTGCCACGACCCCGACCGGAACGTCCCCTGCCCCGACCGCGTGAGCCCTTGCCTCCTCTGCCCCTTCCTCGGCCCTTTCCTTGGCCAGATTTCTTGGTTGCCAGTTTCATCTGCTCGGCTGGTGACATGGCAGGGGTCTGATCACCTTTACCGGCTGGGCAGGGAGGGAGCACTGCATCCATATCGTAGTGAACAGTTTCCTTGCCGGGTGTAGCAGCAATCGCGGCATCCGCAGCATCATCTTTAACACTTTCCTCCCTTGGATCCTCCCTTTCATCTTCATTGCATTCCCCCCTTGGATCCTCCCTTTCATCTTCACTGCACTCCTCCCTTGGATCCTCCCTTTCATCTTCACTGCATTCCTCCCTCGGATCCTTCCTTTCATCCTTGGCCACCACCATGCCATTGGGGTCAACACATTCATCCACCTCCTCCTTTTCCTCCTCTTCCTCCTCATACTGCAACGGAACGGCCCGCATCAACACATGTGTCTCTGCCTCGGGCGCCTCAATCGGAAGGGGCTCGGCACTGGGCTCGGCGATGAGCTCGCCCATGGGCAAGGTGTCCGTGTAGTCCGGACCTAGGCAGACTTAATCTGTTCATCATGTATCAAACAGCAATCCTGGACAATGGAGAACACAATCTGAAGCGACATGGTTTGCGTGCTATCAAGGAACCGGTCAAAGCATCACTCGGCACATCCGAAGATCTCGTTTCCAAGATCTTTGTTGCGATGCTTTCCGCTGCAGCAACAGAGACCATCTTAGGCGTTGCAGGTTCCAGAGGCCTAGCATCCAGAAGCAAACCTTCAGCATTCGAAGAATTCGAAACCACATGATGCTTTGTTTCATTGCTGGCTCGTGCTCCGGTGTTCTCCTTGTTAGCTTCATCTGCCGAAACTGGTTTGTGATCACCAGCTTCACTCTCAGACTTTGAAATCGCCATAGCAAGATGCAAATCCTCTCTTTCCTGCAGATCCTGGGTAAGAAGCCTTGCTTCCTCCTCATGTAGCTCCTGGAGCTCCAAAAGCAGCGCCAAATTTCTCTCCTGTTCCTCCAGCTCTGCTAGCTCTGCACGTAGAACCTGTTCCTCTGCTTTTGCATCGTTCACAGTGTACAGCTTTGTCTTCACAGGCATGCTTGTAAGCTCTGCAACATCGGGCAGGGGAAAGCAGGGCTTAGATTTCACCTCGCTTGGCTGCATGCCGTGGTTTCCACACAGTTGACACAAGTAGCCCCACCGCTTGTCTTTCATCAAGTAGTGTTCATTTCGAGCTTTGGCTTGGCTCTTGGGGCTGATCGGCAAGTGTCCTGGGCTGCTAGCAATGCACACAGTAGCTCATGCACATACCGACATTGCAATGCATGCATCGATATATGCAGTCTCTGTGTCGTGGAGGCGGCGTCACAATGGGGTCCGAAGATGAAGAAGCTCCAGAGCCTTGGAAACCACAACTGTTCTACGCGTGGGTTCTTGGGCTTAGGGTTTAGGGGTTTAGGGGTTCTTGGGAAAGGGACTTGCGGGTACATGTATACCATGCAAGCAAGGGGCTGAGTTCTGGCAGCTCAAGCTTCCGGATGGGGGAAACCTGAGTTGATATTCGGCGCCTAGTGCATATGTATCGAGATATGCACCTTTGACACATTATACGGTGTAGCCAAAAGCAGCTAAGAAACACTCGGTTCGTCTGGGCCCCGAGGCTTTGCACCATCCATGGCAGCAGGCTCTTCATTAACAGGGTCAGCACACTCTTCATCATCTTCAAACTCCGCTTCAGGTTCACTCTCACCCGCTTCCCCTGCACCCTCCAACTCCTCATCGGGGTCTTCCGACTCCGAGCGGACAGAGCCACCTCGGAAGGCAAGGTTCAGGCTTAATGCGTAAATGGGTTCGATAAATCCAGGGTTGCAGGCAGGGTACAGTGGGATGGCAAGGGAATCCCGCTCCTTTTAAAGAGCTGCCTCACCCCGGGCTGCCGGGGCTCATGAGGTCTTTTTGCGCACTGGCTGAAGCAGGTTATCAATCTCCGTGCCATCCACGCTTGGGTCTGTATCTCATGACCTCGGGAATTCGATAATGATCTATGGGAAAGCAACTCCATGAGGTACTACGTCCGATCTTAAACCAAATGGCTTGTAGGCATTCGGAGATGCATAGGCCGGCTCGCCATGTACAGCCTCCTGAAATACTCCGCCAGCAGGTGCACGGAAGGGCGGAGACCTGGGCACACGTTTGAGACAAAGGGCTTGGGGTACGGGGCATGCATGGCACTTTTGGGGGGGGAGGAAAAAAGGATCGACCGAGGAACCCAGGTGTTCCAGGATGGGTGCCAGAAGATCAACATTCTCCCCCAGGTGCTCCCTCTTAATCTTCTTCGCATCAGAGGGAAGGTGAACGAGCATTGCGTGGTTAAGCCTGCGCATGACAACTTCACTCTTTTGCCAAGCTTTCAAGACGTCACAGGAGGTGACTTCAGGCTCAGGTTCTGCAGCCATGGCAACAGCTCGAACTAGATCGATCCGAACGACAGAACTAACCTGGCCTAGAACCGTAATGTTAAAGACCTGAACCTTAAGCCTTGGAATGCCACGGGCTGCCCAGTACTGCGAGTGCTGTATGCTAGCAATATGCCTGCACATGCATGTACCCTACAAGGTTCATCGCAGTGACACCTTGAGCACATCATCAGCAAGAATAGTTCTCACACAACATGCGCCAAATCACCCGATCAAGAATGCACGGCCTTCAGTCCTTGACACCCGAAGTCGATGTCAAAGCCATCACAGTACCTGCCGAAACCATCCGAGGAAGTTCTATGCCCCGGCGGTCATCAAGAATGTCCTTGTGCATGCACAAACATACAACCCGGGGCGCACCTCGGGATCTGGGCTTCGGCGGCAGGGATGAGCCAGCAAAGCTGAATTTCGGTGTCAAGCTGTTTACACAGCAGCAGATTCCACAAGATATCCCCCAATCCCTCAAGATATGCCCTAAAAGAGAAAAGTATACGGATCCCAAGAAAAGTGCACGAGCCCTAAAAAGTATACGTGCTCCAGCAAAACCATTACAAACTAGCCCCGGATGGAAATAAGTACTACGAAAGAATCTCCAGGTATATTTATGTATGTATGGTGACTGTGCCTGGTGCTCTCTGAGTAGATGCTTGGGGAGTCCTTTTCGCTATATTAGTACCTTACCTTCAGACCCTGCTGCCATCCAAACGTTACCGCTAGCCCAGCATGCCTGCCATTGCCAGGGAAGGCACGCGCATTTACATAAGTCAGTACGTTACAGCCTATAGCATATACATTCCGTGCGCTATGCCAAAAGTGTAGTTTCTTGCGTTGTGGGTACACTCTTAGCCCCAACTTGGCACAAGCTTCGGGTGCAGGAATCTTCTCTCGAATGCTGCCATCAAGCTCACGAGCAATAACCTGGCTACTTGGGCCAGGAAGAAGCGATGCGACAGGATTCAGGGCTCAGGGTTTGGGGTTAAGGGGGTTTTAGGGATGGGTCACCCTTCAGGGGCTCAAAAGTTTATGGATCCCGAAATTCTGTGCTCACTTTGCAAAACTTGATGCTGCTTGGAGTGACTGTCTTTGCTGTTTGAGCATCTTGAGCTGTGCAAGGCATGCAGCACCGTGTCTGCGAGATATGTCTTGAGGACTGCTGTCGAGGATTCCAGACGTAGGTTGGTGTCCGTCCGTTAGGGCCAACACGGAAGACAACGCAGCACTGCTGGGTTATGCCCAGACCGTGTTGGCTTGCAGCATGTCTCCCCGATCTTGCGACAATCAATTAGCGAATCGGATTGGAAGCTAGACCTGGAGAGAGGATCTATTTATGGGCATTGCAGCACATTCGAGCACTGCAGGTGTTGCTTTCATCATCTCTACATACTGAAGTCTTTCTGTTCTCAAACCTGATGTCCCAGAGAGCCTGAGTAGGGACGATGAGTAAAACCTGGATCGAAAGGTCGTCATTGGAGCTGGGTGTCAAATGCTCATCTTTGCATTGACGCTTGCCGGGGAGGGAGATGGGTTTAGAACTAGAGGGGTGTTGTTCCAAATTACGAGGCCCATGCCCACTTGCCGATCTGCATCTTGAAAGCAGGCCTGAGCGTAGAACAACCCCGCCCCCCAGCTTCTGGCCAGGGATTGTTATCTGTGGCCTGAGGTTTGCGCGTGATCGAGCGATTTAGAATTTTTTGGGACAAGAGCGAGGGCCTGCATGGAAAGTTTTCAGGTCGGGAACTCAAGGTTTTTGGGGTCCCGTCGCCCTACACCCGCCCTCCCCCTCCCCCCCAGTTTATGTAGAACCCAACTGCTCGCGCTCCAACAGGGATGGAAGGTTCATTCATCCCAGTCGGAAAACAGCATGAACTCCTGATGAGCTCGAGTAGTCTGCACCGCCCCCGAATCTTACGCGCGAACGTCGTCAGATGAAGCACACACGCGAAGACTCCGCGTAAAGCCCGTGAGCCAAGAAGCCTTGGGCTTGATTCCCCGGCTTGATCGAAGTGGAGGTCGTGTTGAACATAGCAAGCTCCAGCACAAGGCTTCCCACCCCTGAACCCTGAACCCCAAGCCGCCAAAGCCCGCTAATCCTCGAAACCCTTAGCTCTAAACGATCCTGGAACCCTGAACCCCTAAACCCCCAAACCCCTGATCCCTAAACCCTAAACCCTAAACCGCGGCTGTTTGCCACGCAGGCGAAGCCCAGGCAGCTGCAGCTCCTGAGGTCCCGAAGTGTCGCACAGTCTCAGTTTGTTAAGGGATTTCGGGATCTAGGAATTTTAGGGATCTAGGAGTTTAGGGTTCAGGGGTTCTTAGTAGCTGAGTAGGTAACTTTGAAACTTTTTGGGCTTATATAATTATATAATCGTACCATAGCTGAAAGGTTAACCTTTGTTGGGCTAGGGTACTCAGCCCCTAAGTTAGGGTTTAGGGGGAGGCAGTCTTGTTATTGACTGTTCTAGCCATTGCTCCTTGTTTTTACATATGTTCCTATCTTCTTGAAACTTGCCTCGATGTCACAGTATCGTTCTTGTGAGCATTGTTTTGTTAGTAATGTTGCCAGTCTTCTCGTCAGGCCAGGTGTCTTGGGGTTCCCATAGAGCCCAATACCCCTTAAATAAGGAACATACCTTAAATTATAGGGGCCTTAATACTATGATTTGAGGTATATTCTTAAATCCTTAAACAAGGAAGATGCCTTAAATTATCGGGGCTTTAATGATATATCCCTGAATGAAGGGGTATTGGGTTCTCTGGGTTTGTGGCACAGAATTCCGCGCTGGGGATCAGGCGGGTTGCGGTTTTGGGATCGTTTGCGGGCCCGGCTCCAGACACACACCCTAAGGGTCCAAAGGACCTAGTAATCATGTACTTCGGTTACGGATAGTAGTTTTGTAGGTTAGTATGCAAAAGATGTGATTATTAGGTACTTGGACCCTTGAGCGCTGCAGATATGCCAGTAAGGTCTAGAGTAAGTGGAGTATCCCCCAAAAAATAAATCCAATTCCGCATGTTCAGATCTCGACGCGATCTGTATATAAGCCTTCAGGAGCCACTGACTGGAGTTCCGTTCAGGACAGGAATGCGAGACTCAATGCCATCAGCAAAACTAGCTGCAACCATGCTGATGGTGAAGCTGTTGCTTTGGCTTTCACTGCCATCGACTTGATGATGATGATGGTGATGGTGATGATGATGGTGATGATGAGGTTGATGACGATGATGATGATGATGCTGATGATCGCCATCATCATCATCATCATCATGATCATCAACTTCATCTTCTTCATCTTCATCAGTATCACCAGCATAATAATAATCATCATCGTCATCATCATCAACTTCATCTTCTTCATCTTCATCATTATCACCAGTATCATCATCATTATCATCTTCATCATCATCATCATCATCAGCAACGTCATCACGGATTCATGGATGTACGGATAGGCGGGAAGCTAGCTCGTTCAAAGTAGGTCTGGCACTTCGCACGGCAGGCAATCCAGGACGAACGAGCAGATATGTCAGCCCCAATTCTACCACCTTGGTCCCGAAGCTCTGACCGTAAATACGTCCTTCATCTGGGTTGCTGTGAAGGAGCCGAATCTAAGTTACCAGAATGGGGGCATGTATATAGTCATTTGTAGGGTTTCCTGATTATAGTAACTTTGAATTGAAGTTCCTGCGCAGCAACCCAGTCATTCCCTAAACCCTAAACCCTAAACCCTAAACCAGCACAAGCATGCTCATCCGCAGTCCCTCGCAACCTTCCCGGGAGGCAGCATGCGAAAGGG